CACACACACACACACACACACACACACACACACACACACACACACACACACACACTTTCTTTAACTTTTTAAACCTTTACTGAAAACACATGTTGGAAGTGAAAAGATATGTGGTCCTCCCAGGAGAGAGGGAGAGAGAACAGTTGTAAAATGCTGCTGCTCATTTGATTCCCAAGTTCTTCCCTCAAAGTTGATGAGTTTTCTGACCTATTGTATCATTGGTTTAGATCTATCACAGACAAAAGCTAACTCAACACCAGGTTGCCCACTGTCCCTAAATTTACAAACAGACCATTAAAAAGCAAGGCTAAAATGCCTTTACATAAAATCCATAAAAATAAAGTCATCCATAAAAAAAAACTAAGCTACCAGAGCTTGGTTGAAGCTCTGTTGTTGGAAAGAAGATGGAGGCAGTGCTGAAATATAGACAAAGCAGAGCAGTGCCACCTGATGTTTAAGTGGGAATGCAGCACCCTGAAGGAAGCTCTTGTCAGGGCTTTGTGGCTCATGGGAGTCTTTGTAGCTCTCTCCCCATTGCCTACCAACCTTGTGTTCCTCTTGCTGCTGCTGTGTCCCGTTTACCTGTAACACTACTTGTCTTACAGGTAGGTGACAGTAGTCCTTCTTTTGGGGGCCATGGCAGGATAGGGGGTGGGGCCTGGTGAGGAGTAAGTCTGGGAGGCATGGATTTTGGGGGAAGCATAGTACAGGGTATGGTTGGGAGCACCAGGGTGTGGAGGTGAGTCATGGACTCCTGAGGTGGGGGCAGCATGGTATAAAACCATTACTGCAGTCAAGAACATGTTATTTACTGATAATCTGCAAACATTTAACTGACAGCCAAACATTTTTCCAATGCCTGGTATTAAATCCCTAAATGTGTACCCAGCCTTGCCCAGGGCCTGGGAAAAGGTTACATTTACATTATGTAAAACATACATCAGTAAAAACATATATCAATCAAAAAAAAGTTTGCTTATTAGTAGATTGTCAGTAAAAAGTTGTCTTCAGTTGGCAACCCTGCTCAATAGGGAAGTGATTGCTTCAAAACTTGGCAATATTAAAAAAAAAGTGCCTTTGTTTTCTAGTATTTTGATTTTAGATTTTTAGATTTTGTCAAGCTTTTTTCTATGACAATTAAACACCATTTTAGTGAATGAGGAAATTCTCAAGAAAAACGATTCTAACAGCTAGGAGTTTAAGAGAAAAACCAAATATTAAGACATTCAATACAATTTAAGGAGTTAGCAACACTGGATCATCGGTACTTTCCTTTTTCATCCCTGGTTTACCCATGGTATTTCTTTTTCTTTAGGGAATTTGTTATTGATCCCACTTTACTCTAGAACTTACTGAGGTTCCTTTTAACTTACCTTAGTAAGCCCTGATCTGGCAGTCTTATCTATCTGTATAAGCTCCTGTGCCCACCAGGAAATTAACTGGTCAATGGGGATCCCTTTGGGCATAGGGATTGACATGCACCAATCAGATTGCAAGATGAATGTTTTAGATGGTATAGTAACAGGGAAGGGATTGTTTCTTCCTCCATTTTTGTACAGCAGCCTGCACTCTAATACTCCGTTCCTGCTTGGAATATAAGTGACTGTTAATAATAAATGCATATCATTGTAAGGCTTTGTCAGAATACTCCTCATAAATCTTTTCTTCTTGCTGGGAAGATTTGAATCTATTCATCTGCTTTCCAAACTTTTTGACCACCACTAAGCAAGCAAACAAACAAATCTTTCAGCAGCTTTTATTTCTTTATCCAGCATTTTGCCCTTCTGTAGTTCTAAGAGATCCTATGATCTACTTTGCTAGCCTCATCTTGTTTCCATATAGCACC